AACAAAACCCAGAAAACTATATTATTTATATATTCACTGTGTCTGGGACTTTGTCCCGTGCGCTGTATGTTCTCGCCGGCAAGAAATACACGCAGGACACTCGGATCCTTCTGCAGACAAGCTTTAATGCATCTTGAGAAGGGAGAGCATAAGCTTACCAGAACGGAGACCCTGAACCAAGAATCCCATTCCTTAATAAAGGCTGGCAAGCCGCCTGGGACGTGTTACCCTATGAATGGCTTCAGCTCCTCAGGCCAAATGAGCCACGGGATAGGCAGAGATCAAAGGAATGGAGATTACCCAGCGCCTGTGAAGTAATTTACATTTTGGTGTCTTCAGGCACCATTATTGTAATGGAGAATGCAGGAACGGCTCCCTACAGGACTTTTCTTCCAGTACATTTAATTAGCATCTGCTTCTTTCTTCAGCCTAAAATTTTCTATCTAGTATTTATTTCTTCTTAGACAGGTCTGGGAGCAATAGTCTTTCTACTTAACTTGAAAATGCCCTCATTTCACCTGTACTTCCGAAGGTCAGCTTTGCTAGATATTACTTTTAAATCATTTTCGCTTGCATTTATTAGCCTGTGCACACTCGTGATTAGTTGTTCCTTCCACATTGTGTGTACCAAGGATCAAACTCTGGTGCCTTTATGGGCTGAGCCATCTCACTGGTTCCTGGGTACAGAATTCTTGGTTGATTGTTTTTTTTTTGTTTTGTTTTGTGCTTTATCACTCTAGGTACATTCTTGCCCTTCCCAGAATAGAGAAACAATTGTATCATTGTTGCTCTCAAAGTTTTTTGTTGTTGCTTTTTTTTTTTTTTTTTTTTTTGAGACAGTGTCTCACTAGCATCGTCACAGTTGCTGGCATCCTCTGGGGACCTCTGCACTGATCTTATGTGGGAGTGCATTGGGTATCTTGGATGTGCTGAATAAGGGTGTTGTTATGTATATGTGACTGTAAACTGACCTGGGGATTAGAGTGAGATCATCTTGACTGGGTGGTAACCGTACCTGCCTAGTGCCTGATAATCACTCTGTAGAGCCCCAGACTTGTATTATAGTTGAACCTGGAGTTGACCGTTTTCTATTTTACCTCTTCTTGGTTCACCTTTGGATCTGATTCTGGCAGGACCATATATATCATCTACTCGACTCAGGGATGTTCTGGATTCTACACCAAACATGGCGGCATTCACTTGTAATTCCAGCATTGGGGAGGTGGAGGCTGGAGGAGTAGAAGAGTTGAGGCCAGCCTGGATGACATAGCAAGACCCCACATAAACAAAACAAACAGCCAGCAATGTTCAGGAGCTGCAGTTCCTTCTACCACCCGATCACTGCTTTCTTGGCAAAATGTGGAGGAAGCTGTTTCTGGACCAAGTGTCTATTCTTATAGTTAGGACTCTTCCAGGCTCTAACCTGTCATATAAAGCTACCCTGATTTTCTGCTGATTTTCTGTCTCCCCCAATTTCTCTATGCTCAGATAAAGCAGTCCCTCATCAGGCAGGCATTCAGGTGAAAGCCTCCACCATCCTGGGAATTCATTTGGCTCTCTTTGCCTCCACTTTCAGTGGGAGAACAGATGGATGTTGCTTGGGTTCCTCTCGTTAGCTCAAGACCAGAGCCTTAAATCTTCTGAACAGTGCTTGGAAGAGGCAGAATCCAGAGCTTTTTGGGTATAGTCATTTCAGTATGGTGCTGTGCACATTTACCTGCCTGCCCATCTGGCTGCTGGGCCCCTGGTGAAATGGAATGAGCTAATGTACACAGCCTTGGTGCACTGATGCAGAGTGGCAGGTGTCAGTATTCAGTCAACAGTGCATGTCACAATGATAACAAAGCACCCGGGCAATGCTAGCAACACAAATGTCAGTAGAGGGACTGGCTTTTTTTTGTTTTATTGTTTGCTACAGGGTCTCATGATATAGATCTGGCTTTCCAGGAACTGACTCTGTAGAACAGGCTGGTCTTGAACCCACAGAGATCTGCCTGCTTCTGCCTCCTGAGTGCTGGGACTAAAGGCCAGTGTCACCAGATCCAGCAGGATTTATTTTTATTTCTGTAACCAGAGGAGGATTCCAAGTTGGGAAGTATCCTGAAGGGCACTGGGGAACATGGGTTTTCCAAGCCATCATGTACTGATGACCTACTGTGTGCTGGGCACTCTCCTCAGCCCCTCTAGAAAGCCCAAGAGTTGGCTCTTCCTCTTTGGCAGAACCCTGTTCTGCCATGGTCCTTCACTTTTGCTCCCCGGTGAATTTGACATTTTGTCTCATCTGTTTTCAAAACCACAGCCAGCTCTAAACTGACAGATCCTCTCAGTGAGAGGACTCTGGTTCTTCACAACCACAAGTCTGGGTCAGTTTCACATCCTCCATGGGGAAGTGTGTGAGAGTTGGAGAGCCTCTGTAGACATGCCCTTTTGCATCCATTGGCTCATGAGGAGCAAACTGCTACCCAGATAACCCACTTCTACAATGATTCCTGGTACTCTGGGGGCTATTATGTAGATGCACAGAAGAGAAACCATGTTGTAGTGGATTTAGAACCCTCCTAGGGTATCAAGGCCTGGGATGTTTCCCTGCTATTCTTCAGTCCCTACAGCTTTGTCTTCTAGGGGAGGGAGTAGGGCACAGGAGTAGCCTGCCTTCCAAACCAGTAGGCCCTGGTCCATGGGGACCCATCTCAGAATCACTGTAGCAGCCTCGGCTAACTTCTCAGTGTGGGTGGGTGCCTTGGGACATTCAGAGAGCATGCCCAGTCTCAGATGCTGTCACCTTGCTCTACAGGAACATGTCCACATTTTCTGTAGTCCACAGGAACTTTAGCTCTTGGTTCCCCCTGAACTGCCCCAACATGCCGATGCTTGGAAAATGAGGAGGGCTTGCCTCTTGGACTCTAAAAACCAAAGAACCAAGTCTGCCTGCCTGGTGTAGGCGGCTGAACCATCACTGTGAAGCCCATATCAACAACACACATTTATGCAGGGCTTCCTTCACCCCACACCTGTTTCTTTAATCCCCTGACTGCTCTCTTGATTGAAAATGTTGTTCAACCAGGAAGCTCCAGGCAGCTGGGTCTTTTCATATTCAATGCCCAGATAAAGCTGCTGCACTAAACCAAGGAGCTACACTGCCCTCCAGTGGTCTTAAAGTGTGAAAGCAGCTCACTGCAGAAGCCTAGCGGCCAGATTGCTACAGGGAGGGGAGCTGGCTAGCCTGTCACTATCATCTATTTGGGACCAGGTCCTGGGAAACGCCTGGGTCAGGGTGGATCAAAGTTGGCTACCATGGTGGATGTTGGGGCTAAATCTTGCTTCAGACTCCATAGGCAGGTGAACACTTCTGAGGTTGAAAAGTACTGGCTCTTTTTTCCACCAGCCAGAGTTTGTCATCATCACCTGGGGCAGCTGCTGGGTGTAGGAAGCCACTACAGAATATATCCATTCCCAATCCTACTCCATGTGCCAGTTCCGAGGACCACTGAGATGCAGGTGCTAACAAGTTATTGTTGCTATGTTTTCATTTTGATCACCCAAAATGACAAAACCTCCCATGTGTGTGGAAATGTAAAAGCACATACGGGTGTCCGTAGATACTGACAAAAAGTTACTTCCACTGAAGGAAATTAACTACAGAGGATAGAAAAGCACACCCGTAGATACTGACAAAAAGTGTGTGGAAATGTAAAAGCACATACGGGTGTCCGTAGATACTGACAAAAAGTTACTTCCACTGAAGGAAATTAACTACAGAGGATAGAATCTGTCTAGGAACCCAGGGGTGGGTGAGTGGGTGTGTGTGTGTGTGTGTGTGTGTGTGTGTGTGTGTGTGTGTGTGTGTGTGTATTAGGTTTCTGAAGTCACAACTTGCAGCTTTGTGTGATCACTGGCTCCTCCAGGCAGTGTGAATGCAGGGAGGTAGACCCATGGAGGACGACGGGAGCTTCCAAGACAGTCTCTGCCTATAAGTGGAAGGAGGCATGTGGGGAAGAAAAAGAATCTTACCAAGAGAAAATTGATGGGCACACATGGTAGAGAGCAGAACCTGTGCAGGAGGTGTTCAGACCACTCCCAAGGTCTTTCTAGGAGTTCCACACATGGTAAGAGTGGAACCTGTGCAGGAGGTGTTCAGACCACTCCCAAGGTCTTTCTAGGAGTTGAATTTAGGGGAGGCAGCTGGGCTTTGGGAGTAACATCTCATGGGAGAATCTTACCTTGTTCCCAATGTTCAGGAAAGGGCAGCAGCTAGGAGAGATGGTTTGCAGAGGGAGGCAGGAGCAATGCAAAGGCAGAATCATGCTGCCCTCTTCCTCTGTAGGATCTCACTGGCGTCTGTGGGATTCCTTAGGACTTGGGGTGACTATGGAACACTGCAGCCCTTCTGGTCCTTGCAGGCTAGGATGGAAGTAGCATGGGGTGCCTGGTCAACCCCAAACTGGAAGACTTCGAAGATTTGATGGAGACCTGGAGACCACAGGGATGGGGAAGCGGGAGTCTGAGCTGCAGCTAACCTTTGGCAGATGTAGTTACCCTGCTCTGCTGCCAGAGAACGCAGAGACACTGACAAGGCTGTGTTGGCAGAACTGTACACAGGCGAGGAGTCATGTCTGGGGACAGACTTGGTGCCACAGAGGACTAGGCTTCACATGTCTCACCTTCACGGTCGGCCTATCCCAGTGGCATGTGCATCTTCCTGCCAAGTAGCTAGTGCTGTGTCTAAGTGTTGGTGACAAATCAAAGACAGATCTACACCCCGAATGCTAGGGATGGGGGAAGGGGGCGGTAAAACGGTAGGATACTGAACGTGGAGACAGGAAGGGTGATGTGATGTGATAACTGCACAGAGGGGCAAGACAAGGGGAAGCTGTATGGTTGGTGCATTACCTCTGAAGCAGGAAAAAAGAGTGTGACTTAACCGTTTCCTGCCCAGTCTTGTGTCTCTTGATGGGACTCTCCACAGTGACATAATGTGATTGTCTAAAGGACATCACAAGGCAGTTTCTCCAAAATTTTATTTTAATTTAAATTACAGGGCCAGCCAGATATCTGATAAGAAATTCACTTTTCCTCAGGAGAAAGGAAACACTTCCATGTCATTAACAATTGTATACATCTCCCACTTTTTTTTTTTTAAGGGTTAAAAAAAATCACATTAAGTAACTGCCTTAAGTAAAATTAAACCTTTATAACATCAAAGAATCCACACCCAGGATAATCGTTTTGGTAATAGGAACCTAGTAAATGATCACACATCAAATGCAACTTTTCAATTTTGAATGTTTTCACATTGTTCTGTTTAAAAACAGTCCAGAAGTCTTCTCTGCCTCCAGCTCCCGATGCACTGGTGACACACGTTTTTCTGACACAGCCACTTCCTTTTCCACCCCAGACTCTAGCGCTACTTCATGTCTGACCAGGTGGAAGCTGTTTGCTGTCTGAGGCTCTAAGAGCTGGCTTAACAAGGAGACACCCTTTCACCTGAGCGATGGCATACTAAATCATAGCATTGGAATCTGCCTCCTGCTGAGGATTTCCTCCTCCAGGAGACTCAATGCTTTCCCTATTTCTAGGGAACACAAATTCTCCCTCTCCTCCCCCCTCTCTCTCAAACAACCCCCAGTGGAAAGGGCCTTGGAAACTCTTTACTGTAGACTGCCATTTAAATGAAATAGAACACACCTGTATCTTCTGGAGTGGTTTTTCTAGCTTGTTTCTCTTGAAGGAAACCTTAAAGCCTGCTCAAACACCAGCTGGGAGGCTCCTTTTACTGGCCAATGGATCATTCAGTTAGTAAGAGAGGCTAGCAAAGAATTATGTCAATTTTTTAGTCAGCTACAGCCATGCTGAATTGGATGGGGCAAACTCTGATTTTTAAGTTGTTAGTTGTGATCTGTGTGTCACTGAGACGAACAGACACCATTCTAGTAACTTTATGTAGATACAGTCTAGGAGATATTGTTCTGTTGTGGTCACAGTCACAAAAAGTGGTGCAAAATCAGTTGCTTTATAAATACTGATAATTTGCAGCATTAAGGAAAAGGACATTAAAAACAATCTCCCCAGAGGACATCTAGGACTAGGGCTCTTCTTTTCCTAAGAGAAGCCAAAGTTTTAATTACTCAGTTTCCCAACTACTGTACTGGGGATCACTTACTCTAAGAAAGAAAGGTGCTCTACAGAGGCCCCGACCCACAAAGAATCAAGAATCAGCATTATTAGCATAATCTGTGTCATTCATAGATATGGCAATCTTAGGAATCATTTTAAATGAATAAGGCCAATATTCTCCAAGTCCATCTGGCGAACTGAGTTCCAGGTCTGTAGTTCCGCCTACCAACGGCGCCCCATTGGGTAACTGAACACAAGGGACTGGTTCTTTTTCTTTTAGTGCTGTGATCCTTAAATGTTAAAATCAGCATTTTCATGTGATCTCAAGTATTTCAATTACATATGAGCTTTTTTTTTTTTTTTTTGCAAAACTCAGGTAATAGTTACATACTACTACAATAACATTCCTCTGCTGTACAAATTAAACAATTTAAAAGAAATGAGCATTCTAAGAATTATATACAAAAGAAACCTGTAAGCAGTGTTGAAATGAAACGTAAGGTGTTTGCTAGCTCTACTGTTTTAAAATACCTTCCAAAGTAAAATTAACAAATACCCTTCAACACATCCAGGTTCACAAGTCTCAAGAAAATCAAATGTCAAAAAGTTCTAGAAAGCTGTGAAAAGCATATATACACTTTCCTTATGACCTTACGAAGCGCCACACTTGAGAAGTTGCTATGTTTCAGTATCAATTTATTTGCACGCCAACTTTATCCTCCCCAAAGCTCACTCTGGATACAGTTCCCCTTTGATCTCCAAAAAATCCCTGTACACGCCATGTTCCTTCGGTGATGGTGGATGATCTGGCTCTGGGATGCCAAGTGTACCCATGCCATGCCATACTGCAGAGATCTGCAAAGAGCAGTGCCGATGTACAGGTATCAGCTGATGTCATCAATGTCTTTTCCCTAGACCACTCTCATCCCGCATTTGCCTTCATGAACCCAGCCATGTTCAGAACTCCTGTAGCAAATGGAGTCTGTGAGTTCTGAAATGACACAGAGATCAAGGGAAAGACCATGTGCGCTCTAATGTGCAAGCAGCAGCTACGTTCTCCAACCTGGACTGAAAAACAAAAAGGTAAAATGAAAACCGTTCACTTAACAGCAGATTAGCAGTAATGTTCCTCATGAATCGATAAGAGTGCCTGATGCTGAGTAGCTAACAGCAAGTGCTGAAGTTGGAAGGGATATCATAGGCGTTTATTGGAAATTAGGCTTCTTGCTGAGCTGGTCTCTTCAAATCCCTGATCTGTTTGACTAAATAGGTCTTCTCATCATTGAACTGCTCGTCCTCCGTCCTGTCGTTCTGAAACTTGCTGAGGAACTCAATGAGTTTGGTCTGGTTCTTGAGGAGGATGTCTAGGATGGGCTGTGTCTTGTTGGGGTTGGCCACAAACACCTGCATAAGAGAAAACCGTGTAGGTCCGAGAAGCAGTCAACATCCACCCCACAAGCTCCTGGTTTTTGCTTTAGAAGAGCTTATTTTTACATGATATGGGGAAATAATAATGATCACATGCTTTAGCACAGAGATTGCCAACTCTGAAACATAGTAGTTAGAACTAAATACTGATACCACCCCACCCCAACCACACACATAGCCCTCCACTAAGCATCACAAAATACTCTGCCTGGGCCTGGCCCTCACTTCCTCACTCAATCGGCCGCAGAGAGACTTGGAATGGGAGGCCAGCCTAGATGGGCGGGGGAGGAGGGCAGCAAGGGAACCGCTGTCTCTGAATAACCTTGGGTGCATGCTGAAGATAATGAGGCTCCTCTCCGACTGTGCTTGCTTATTCTCAAGCCCAAATGGTCCGCCCATTTCCAGGTCCCTGCTTCCGTTCAAACATGCTGACTAAACTGAGTACCGTGTGGGTTACTGAAACCAGGCAGTATTAGTAACTGTAATGAACAGTTTTGGAGGAAAGCGCTGTTTGTCAGTGCAGCCCACCTTGAACACGTGAAAGGCCTCAAACTGGATGTTTCGGCTCTTGTCTCGGAGGAGGTTCATCATTAACTTGAGGTTCTCAGGTTTACTGATGTACTTCGTCATAATCGTGAAGTTGTGTCTATCTAACAGCAGTTCACCGAGAAGCTGAGGACACATTTAGACCATTGCATTATTATTAAGACTTCAGTAACAAACAACAACCCATCTTATAGTCATTGTGAGACTAGAGAGACTGGTTTGAAAGTGAACAAGACAATAAATAACCACTACCCAAGAAAGTGGCCAGAAGAAAGGGTACTGGGAATTTCTGTTCACTGATCTTAGCTTCCCCCTACCTGTTTTAAATTATATTGAGCAGGGCTTTCCAAGTTGAAGCGTGTTGTCTCCTAAACACATGCTCAGGTTTTCACACTCTCACACCTGCCTCACAAAGCAGTATGTTCAGAGGAGGTTCCTCAAAACATTCCTGACTGTTAAGGAGCCACAGCATCGAGCTGAAACCACTTCTGCCTTGATATACCATATAAATGTACAATGTGCAGGTTTTCCTCCAAGTTGCTCTCATACTGAGCTCCAGCTGAGCCCCACTGTGTCAACCACATACATGTTAGCAGGCATCAACATCCTCCTTGTGAACAGCAAGGCAGACAGTAGGGCATGTCCTGTGCCAGCCTGCCTGGGTTCAGATATGTAACCCTAAGTGTTACTTGCTTTCTTTGTGAGTTAGTTTCACCATGTACACAATGAGGTCGAATAGTACTGAACTCTGGAGAATGCAGTGAGAAACTCAAGTGTGAGCGCCTGGGAATATAAGCACAGAACTGTGCCTGATAGGTGCTGGGTCCCAGCTGAGCTCTAGTATTTGACATTTCTAGGTAAACAGCTTCTCATCATACAAAAAACAAACTCCAAAAACCAAGACTCAAACCCTGTGGGGCTGCAGACCCGGCTCAGTGGTTAAGTAAGAATACTCGCTGTTCCTGCAGAGGTTCCTCTCACCCAGGTGGGCTGCTCATGACTGCAACCGAAGCTCCAGAAGGTTTCACTGCTCTCTTGGTCTCCTCCAGCACCCACACTCATATCCCCACCCCCAATCTGTTGTTCAGGAAAACAAATTGATTCTACCTGGGATTCATGCAGAATTTATAAAACTTTTGTTTCAGGCCAGCAAGACGGCTCAATGGGTAAAGGTGCATATCAAATCTGACAGCCTGAATTCAGTCCCCAGGACTCACATGGTGGAATGAGAGACCTGACTCCCCTAACTTGTTCTCTAACCTCCATATGCGCCCTATTCCCCACATAACATAAGTGCAATGTAATAATTCTTTTCTTTTCCCCCAAGACAGGGTTTCCAGTGAGTCCTGGAACTCACTCTGTAGACCAGGCTGGCCTCAACTCAGGAGATTTTCTTGCCTTTGCCTCCTGAGTTCTGGGATTAAAGGCATGCACTAGCAATGTGATAATTTTCATATTTAAAAACTAACTTCAGGCCTCATACCACTCTGAACATATAATTACTAATTTTCACGAAAAGAAGTGGCCTGCCTGTGTTCTAGGGAGACTCACAAGTGGGAGCTATGGGTGCAGCTCTCACTGTGCTCATCTCTATTAGAGAACTAAAAGCATTATGAAGAAAGACTGGCTTCAGCTGAGTTATCCAAAAGATGACTATGCAGAAGACGACTGGGAACTCAAAATCATTTGGACACTGAGAGTTAAGTTTTACTTGGGAATATAAAGTTGCTGCCAACAGGGAAATAATAGTGTTTCATCAATACAAAATCAGGTACTTTTGAGGAATTCTGAGCAAATGGAATTTAAAATACATCCAGCAAAACATTTAAATGAGATTCTACATCCTTGCAACTCCACCTCCAGTTCCCTGACAGAATTGAATGTGTTGCTACATATTTAATAATCACCATAAGAACATACAGAGGCCAGCAGTTGTTCTGTAAAAGGTCAGACAACACACATTTTAAACTTGGTAGGCCATATGGTCTCTGTGACAACCACTCAAACCTGCTGTTACAGTTTCAAACAGCCAAACATGATGCATAAATGTCTTGTATTCCTATAAAAATGTATTTACAAAACCAATCATTTGGCTGAGTTTGGATTCTAGGCTGTGGTTTGCCAGTTGCATGTGTGTGGTTTACATGCATGCTCATGTGTATATACGCACATGGATGGATAGGTAGGTAGGGGTGTGTGTGTGCGCGCGCGCATGCACCAATTTGTTTAGGCTGAAGATCAATACTTGTCTCTTCCTTAGCCACTTTCCCACTTGCCATATTGAAGCAGAAAGTCTGATGGTTTAATGTAGCAAGCCAGCTTAACCCTAGGATCCTGTCTCCACCACCCAAGCACAGGCTGATTGCCACAGCTGCCCAGCATTCACTGTGCGTGCTGGGTACTAGGCCCACTGAGCTACATCTCCAACTTCTTAGTTTGCCAACATTTGTTGAAGACTTCCAGTCTTACATTTAGCATGTTTAAGGTTCAAATGGGATTGTCCATATCCTGTGTTGATATAAAGCTATGGCATTTCAGTTTCACTGCTCACATGTTGGCCCCCAACCTGCCAATCTATACATTTGGTATACACCCACAATGCTTTATCTGGCTGGCATGAATTCATTTAAAAGTATCTTTCTGAAAGGCATAATGGTTCATGCTTGTCATTTCACTGGGAAGTTCAGACAGGATGATTCAAGGCCTATTTTAGCTAGATAACAGGACCCTATCTCAAAACCAAAACTGAAAGCAAAACCAACAAAAATTTCTTTTCTTTGGGGCTTTTCGAGGCAGGGTTTCATTGTATAGCCTAGGCTGTCCTGAACTCAAGAGAGATCCACCTGCCTCTGACTCTGAAGTGCAAGGCGCATGCCACCACAGGCCAGCCCAATAAAAATTTCAATACTTATAAAAATATTTCAGAATCTAAAATATTGCACTGTTAGGAGAAAAGTATTCTTCCACCCCAGGTTATATTCTCTCTTTTGATGTCTCTACCCTCCACATGGGAATTTACCCCATACAGACCACTAATAAACCCCAAACTGCAAAACTCCTGACTATGCACAAATCATAAATGTATTTTCTCCTAAAGGTCTACAATCAACATCAGCATATACCCACCTGATTCTCGAAATTCAAGATATGTATGTATGTATGTATGTATGTATGTATGTATGTATGTATGTATGAATGAGAAATAAATGGCACGCAAAAGATAATTTGCCATACCTTCAGTGACTGTCGCTTTGTCACATAATTTTCTGAATGAAGTAACTTCTCATATTCACTGAAAAACTGAGAACAGAAAACATATATCAGGGTTAAGGAAAAGGAAATTGGATAACATAAAGTTCAGGGGCCAACTCTAAACACCAACAAAGGCCTGTGTGCTCTTGCTGACAATGGTGTCAAACCTTCCTTCCTCTGTGACCCTCTGGTGATGTCACCAGCCACCTCTATGCAGGAAGCTCCTGGGACTGGTCCCCTCCAGTCTCCAGTCAGATCTAAAGGCCCACTTTGTACCCTGAATCATCTGTCTAAAGCATTAACACCTTCTCACAGTTTCCACACTAATTTTTTGGTGTTAGACTAGAAAATTACTATTTTATATACAGGAATTCAATTTGTCTAAACAACAAAGAGAAAAACGAACCTACTCTTTCAAGGTATCAAGCAAGGAGAGAAAGTTGAGAGGAGAAGCTCAGCAGTGTGCTATGTAGAGAGAGGTTTTGAAAGGTGAGAACCAGGTTCAAATGTGAAGGGAGGGAGCAACATTGCTTAGAAATAGGAAGGGGAAAAGGTATTTCTGAAGAAATACAAGAAGTCATCACTTGAGAAACTTGGGACGTACAAAGTTGCAAATCAGAGTTGCCAAGAGCCCAGCAGGTCTTCAAAGTGGCAGCACTGTCCCCAGGGTAGGAGCCATGGAAGATGACCCATGCCAGGCAATCTGACTTCCTTTCAAGAATGTCAATAGATAATTCTAAGCAACTAGTACACATCTTTTGGTCTTTTAATTAATTGTTCCCCATGCTTTAGTCATTAAAAAAAAAAAAAATCATGTCCTTTTTTGTTAGGACTTCCCGTTCCTCTCCCTCAGATCTGACCATACTTTACACATTTCTGTTAGTTGCCTCATCCACATCTTTCTAAAATCTTGTTAGGTGATATCACATCCACAAATAGTATGTAGGGAACTATTTTACTTGTACATTATGCCTATAGTAAATTTCTTTAAATAAGGTAGTCTGTGTGGGAGGCTTTAAAATAAGATAGTAACATATTGGAACAGTTACTAAACTGCTTGTTATGCTTTGGCACTATCTCTGTGAGCTTTAGCATCAGAAGGCCACACACTCTTACTGGTAGGCAGGTGTTACTTGGAGGTTAAAGAAGTTACAAAGAGTGAAGAAAGCAGTTGCCTTTGGTCTATTAGCACTTGAAACCAAATTCGGGCAGTTTGATGTTACAGCAGTGTTCTCAGCCTTCCTGATGCTGCAGCCCTTTAATACAGTTCCTCATGCTGTGGTGACCTCCAACCATACAATTCTTCATAACTGTAATTTTCCCACTGTTATGAATCATAATGTAAATATCTGCTTTTGTTGCTACTTCATAACTGTAATTTTCCCACTGTTATGAATCATAATGTAAATATCTGACATGCAGGATATGTGGCAACCTACAGATTGAAGACCACTGTGTTAAAGCCTGTGAGGCCCTCAGACCAAACACATACAGAAGGAAATACCCGTGCCCAGATACTCATGGCAGAAATAAAGTGCTGTCGATGTTTAAGCCGTTTATGAGGCTGCTTACTCAGCAACATGCCATGATGCTGCTGGGAGAGGGGAAGACAAGCAGGATTCCGTCTCTAAAACCTTCCTTACAGTGCAGAACAGGAAAGCAAATGATAAACAATCAACAATATTTAAGACAAAGATTTAAACTACTAGTAGAAGAATTAAAAAAAATAAGGCAAGTCTCGTGGGGTAGACAGGAAGTTTAAGTGGACACTTATTCTAGATTCTCTAAATGTGCCTATCAGGTCTTGGACAGTGTGTAGGCAACTCCTGTGGCACAGTGAGAACCCTTCCAGAGGAAGGCAGCAGAGTCGGTGTCCACACAGACACTGTAGCCCAGGAGCAGCTATGTGGCTGAGGGGCAGTACTCATCCAAGCACCTGGGATCACCGACAGCTCTCTGGAGGTCACCGGGGCTGGGTCTGACTGACACTGACAGAGCTGGAAGCAATGTCCTCATCTTATGAATCAGGAGGATTCTAAGCCCCCAAGCAGCAAGTGCCTTGGCCATGGCTACAAGGAGTAAGCAGTGAGGCAGAAGCAAAGCTGCCGTCCGGCCCACTCTAGGCCAGCGCTGCTCAAATCCCAGCAGCTGCTGTCTCTGTTTGTATGCAGCAACTGATGAAAAAGGAGGAAAAGGAAAAAAAAAAAAAAAGGTCAGACTAAATTCAGTTTGCATCTTAATTAGATTGTCATTCAGGAACAAAAACGACCATTTCCCTCTTCTAAAATAAGAAAACAGGCAAAAGGCAATGATCAAAATTTGCTTCAGACGAGTACTCCATGTTGTTTCAGTAAAGAAGTAATTAGGGAACCATTCACAAATACCATAGGGTCAAATATTCTGATACAAAAACATACCTTAAACCTTCTTTAATTATTTCATTTCTGTTAAAAAAAAAGTTACAAATGTTCCTTAAAATATTTCACATACTTACTCTATCATAATGCTGTTCCAAAAATTCTGCACTGAGCAATTTATGTCTTGTGAGTAAATCCTAGGAAAAGAAAAAGATGTAATTTTACAGTGGTTCTCCATTAATGTTTTCTTAGGAAAGAGAATTCTAAAATATTCTGTGCCAAACTGCCTGATAAACTGCTGTTAAGTGTTAGCAGACAGCACTTAATATTTTATTATGAACTTTACTCAGGACCATAAAGCTAGCCGTGAAACGACCTCGGTCTCCCTGGGTGAGAACTGTTTATATTTCATTACAGTTCTTTAAGGCTGGCTTGAGGGCGGCACTGGCCTGGGTCTTGCACATGGCAGCACTGCAGCTTGAGTTCCTTTGTGGAGATAACTGGGGCTCCTGATCTGCCACTCACCCTCACCTCCTGACAACCTCCCTTCACAGAGGCTTTCTGTGTCTCCAGCCATCTGCTTCTGACCCCAAACTCGAACTTTGCCATCACTTCCTCAGAAAACCTCTCCTGACTGGTCACAGGTGTGATTCTACATTTGCTTGTGGGATTATTCAGTAAAGCCTCCCCCCTCCCCTCTCCCCCCATTAGACTGTTACTTCCATAAACACAAGGATCACACTGACTTTTACAAGCTTTGAGTTTCTGGCACCTAAACACACCCAGTTATAGCAAGGGCTTAGTATTAAATAAATCAAAGAATGAACCAGGAAAATCAGAAGACATGCTTGGGAAAGTGTGATATTAAATGCTCTTCACAGAATGCCCACTCCCCACCCCCTTTTTTTTTTCAAGACAGGGTTTCTCTGTGAAACAGTTCTGGCTGTCCTGGAATTTACTCTGTAGACCATGCTGGCCTCGAACTCAGAGATCTGCCTGCCTCTGCCTCCTGAGTGCTGGGATTATAGGTGTGTGCCACCACTGCCCAGCTCACAGTATGCTTTTTAAGAAGGTTTCTAACCCACCCCAAAGACTTACAGCTGCTCAAACTGCTGGACAGGGTTTGGGCTAAATTCCCTTATTTATTTAGGGATGTTTGGGAAACTTTGCTACTTTCCCCCAAGTCTCCTGTGAGAATTAAACAGGTAAAATTAAACAGAATTAAGTTTTAGCATCTTTGGAGATGAAGAAGTCACTTTACAGAAAACCTTCAATACACATCTGCTGATCAGCCTGATTTTCCACAGGGGACCCTCCACTTGGCAGACACTACTGTCACAGGCAGAAAGGAAAGAGGTAGCTAGCTGTTCACTGCCTTAGCAAGTACCAATGGTTGCAATGCAGAAAAGAACACAATGACTTCAAAGTGAGGAATCAATGGAGAAAGCATCTAAGCCTGCCTGTCAAAGAGCATTCCCCAGCCTTTAGCCTGCTACCATGCTTTGTTAAAGGCTGGTATCCCCATGGGTAGGAACCACAAGGACAGAGCTTAAATGTATGAGCCACAGCTGAATCCCCAGACCTCAGAACAATGCCTAATACAAGTCAGACACTCAGAAGATGGATGGATGGATGGATGGGTACACAGTACCCACACACTTTTTTGTATGTGGCTGAATCACTACTGTGGGCAATCTGAGTGAGTATAGCCAAAGCCCACTGTTCTCTGGTTACATCTAAGAGATGCTGACTCTCAACTGAGTCTCGAGTTTCAGAACAGGTCAGTACAAAGTATTTGCTCTAAGATGCAAAGGTCTACAGTGTAAAGAGGAGCAAGAGGTCCACAAAAGGACCACAAGGCAGAAAGTGAGACCTCCAACATCTTTCCACTCCTATGCTATCATCTGGGAACTCAGACTGTGGCCAATCTGGGAAACAAATTTCTAAGGTGTCAGGGTAGATGGGACTGAAGAGGGTACTCTAGGCAGTTAAAGCAAGAGTTGGACCTCATGCATAACAGCATGAAAGCCATCTGTGAAGACATTCAGGGCCTGGGATGGCAGAAAATTTATTGGAAATGAGTTACTTGCTAAGAGATAGCTAATAGTACACTGGGAAAGCAAGAAATGGGGTCTTTGGCAGTACATCCGTCTCCTAGAACAAGAAGGAACCTTAAATTGGGGTAAAGGACATGTAGTCAGTGTGGGGTCAGGGACTTAGAAAACTTGGTCTAATCTGAGGTAGACAGAAGGTAGAAAAAAAAGGATTCTCCAGCATTCCCCAGAACAACTGGGGAAAAGTTGTATGGATTGTTTGCATTGTGTCTGAAGTCTAGCAGAGAAAACAGCCAACTTTTAAGGTGGGCTAAACTACAAAGTGTCCCCTAATTCCAGGCAGCAGGTAAAAGATGATCCTGGAGCTCCTGAAAGAATATTGCTATCTCCAGAACGGGGAGCTTAGTTCCACAGAGCCTTGGCAAGTAAGATGGCCCCAAGTCACACTTACTGCTTGACTATGTCCAAGAACATGGAACTCAATTCTATCTGTACAGCTCATCCCTTGGAAGTCACGGGGTCATAAAGTTCTCTGAGCTAGAATTAAACCTGTCCCCGTGTTACTTTCAGAAACTGCTGGAATGGACAGACTGGGTTTAATCCACTTTCTAGAAGACCCCACTTCAAATACAAGCAGTCTCATGGTGGGTCCCTATTCCTTAAGCCACTCCTTGAATGAATGGGTTCTGAGTCTTTCTAAAAGTCACCTACTTGTCTAAGCACACCTGGAAATAATGTGGAAAAACACATTTATATGCTGTTACCTGAAAATAAAGACAATGGACTGCTCCTCATGTCATTCACCTGTGGTCACATGGAGCTCTGGGGATGTTATCACATTGTCAGACTTTATTGGACATATTCAGAATTTTTTTTAAAAGTGGGTTCTGCAGTCTACCCAACTGGGTTCAAATTCTGGCCTCTGCACTTAATGTTTGATTATGACCATATCCAGGTTCAGTTTTCTCACAAAAATGGTAATACTCCCAAATAATGGTAATTATAGTCTAGTAATACCCATTCTTGGGAATTATTTCACAGATTAGTGACTGTTATTATTATGCTTTACCTCTCTGGGTCAAGGAATGAGAGAGAATGTATTTTGTGCTTGCTTGGTACTGCTTTTAAATGTTTTATTTAATATAAATGTTGAAATTGTATATTTTTATACACAATTCTAAAACTCTGCCTTGTGTAAAAGTTGTCTCTGGTAATACTGTGATTGTACTTGTTGGTCCCTTGGCTGGAGCAGAACAACCAAGTCATTCACTATTACAATTTACTTCCCCAGCCTGTATTTACAAGTTATCTGCATTTAGCTTCATCCTGTTCTATACTGGCCTCTCAAGGCCCTTAGCAATCTTAGGATGCAGTTCTTGGCCAGCATCTACATACCTGATGAGTAAGTATATCTAGTCACCTTTTAGTCATTAATAAAAGTTTGGCTGAGCTGGATGGGAGAACCCATAGACATCGGCTACAGAACTCACCCTCAGTGGTGGCACTCAGTTTATCAATGATGTGGGTAGATATTTGCTCAATTAGTTGTGAGCGCACCTCCCTTGACTCCTTGAGAACACCTGCAGGGCTGGTAATTATCCAGCATGCATGCCCTCAAATTTTCACTTTACAGCAACTTGCTTGGTATACACACCATGGCAATGATGTGTACTTTTTGGACTCGTATCTTACCTAACTTTTAACTAGCACACACACCCTTAGCACTCCTGATCTGTGCACTCTCAGGATTAGCAGATCAAACTCTCTCTTAGCAATGCATGCTTACATTTCATCTCTCTGGAAACACTCTTGAGACCTGTCACAGGTGTAATCTCAAGCTCCAAGCTCTGCTGGGTTTTCTGGGGGAATCTACGCTCTTTTTTTATTCTGGAATGATAAATATCTGTTTCTTTCATCCCTCAAAACAAACCCCCAGTCACTAGCAGGTATTTGGCCATCTGGTTTGCTAGCTCAGTGTTCAGTCAAGCTCTGGATCCGGGACACCTTTAGAAAGGATGGTTTTAGTGTGAAGACACAGCACCTGTTCCACAAACTGCATGTGTCTGAAAACTGTGCAGAATATGTTTTCTCAAAGCTTAACATGCAGAAAGCCACCTCTGTAGCGAGATGCCAGCCAACAGGAAAGGAGGAGCCCTGCTTACTTCTCACGGGCACCTTTACTGTCCCTCAGGGTGGTCCTCCTGCTCTGACCAGAATTTCCATCAGGGAATAAAGTAGCTTGGATCTGTCTGGTACTTGGCTAGTCTGAGATCGGATGGTAGTCTCTCTTCCTTGCACATGTATAGTCCACGCTCTGTTCACTATTAGGAGCCTCTCATGAGCTCTCCCTTTCTGTGTCTCCAGGAACACCGGGATCTAGAGCCAGACTGGCTCAGAGCTTCTTCTGGAGCAATTCATCCTCTGAATACCAAGTGGTTTTTGAAATGCATTTCTTCAAGGAGAGACCACCTGCCTAGCTCTGCCAAATCCTCCCCTTTCTTGCTACCATAACCTGGCAGGACTGTGTTACCCACAGTGGCTCTATCACCACCATCTTCTCCTTGGGGAGAAGCAACCCTGGCTGAGATGAAATTACCAGCAAGGCCACACAAGACCATCAGATATCACACTTCTGGCATGTAGCCAGCACGTATCTCTCACCCTGGAGCCAGTTTGGCCATCTGTGCCAGCAGCATGCCATCCATGTCCTCCCTGTGGTCAGGGGGCTCCCACACCACTGCTGTTCCTCAATCCTTTCCCCTCACCCTCCTGTGCCCAGAGTACTGCCACTCTCGGGTTCCTGGCTGTCTCTCTGCATACAGGGTTCTCTCCTTGACTTGGGTGCTACTACACCTCCCTTCATGCTGGGTTGCTGTTCCTGAACGGGGCACCCCCTTCCATCGAGGCATTCTCATGAGTCCTAGGTATCACTGAAGTGGTGGGGTAAGACATCATAGTGATCACTCTATGTTATGATCTCAAATTCATTTCACTTTGCTTTGTACATGACAGTTACATATATGTATGTAAGGTTTCACCTAAAGCTTCTGTGGAGGTTGTACTGACTCTAGGAGATAAATCCTTGGCACCACTAAAACTGTGACATTATTCTCAGTCAGGGTGAAACCCTACTGGCCAGTCCCCAGGCCTTCATCTTGTCCTAATATATTCAGCACCCTCACATATGTACTTTACCCAGAGACCAAGTCCTTACCTCAGGGGCTCCTTATTAAAAAGCTGAGCTCTTACAAGGAAAGTGAGCTTTTTCTCACTGTGTATTCATTGCTTCTGTGTGTGAGTGAGCTACATGTAAGTATATGAAACCCTAATTCAACAACTTTTAAGGACATTTAAGGAAATGCAATACATCAAGATTTATTCTCATTGGGGAAAAAAAGAAAATACAAGATTGCTGCTTCATTCATAAACAGAAGCTTGCAACTAAAGAAACTGGTGGTCACATGTACATTCAGTATATGCAACTCCACAGGGAGGTAAGTTGAGGCAGAGGGGATGGGATAGGGAGGCAGGAGGGATGGTCCTGTTCCTCTGAGGTGACTCAGTTATGCTCTGCCGTGAGGAGGTGGGCATGTCAACAACAGTTTCTCCATACTAAATATGGTTCTTGTATTTAATAACATATATTCCAAAAACATGGCCTCTGAGCAGAGGCCAATATACATCACCGTGTCTAGTGCTAACCAAAGGAGTGCTGCAGAATGCCCATTACAAGAGAAAGCCTGGCCGTTGGGTATTGTGTATGTTATCTATGCCATACTTAAAAGATAATTTAACAGGAAAGTACAATTATAGTAGTAAATTACCAATACGGAGTCAGGTAGAAATATAAGGGTATTGAATAGGGAAAAGCCTTCCTTACAGAGCGAACCAGCCAGCCGGTGGTAGTCTGTACACCAAGAAGAAAAGAAAACCCGAAACCGAAACGCAGTCCCCCTACTCACTCTGACCACGCCCTCACAAGCCCTCGGTTCCTCTTGTAGCCAGCCCCTAAGCAGGCGTGGCTACAGCTTCCCCTACAATTCCCCTTTTAGTCTAAAAGAGGATTAAAACTTAACAGTATAAAGGTAAAATATAAGAAGATAACTATCTATTTTAACTAAACCCTAAAGTCATCTGAAAGAGGTGTCCAAGCCTGAACACCTCCTTCCAAACCGAACCATAAACAATAGGAAGCTATTCCTAACAAGGTATATACACTATCCTAAGTGACAACAATGGGGAAAGGGGGCGTAGCATTTTCCAAGTTACTTCCTGCTGAAATGGGACGATGATAGTCATGTGGGGTCCTGTAGAAAGAAAATGTTAGTATCCAGTCCCCTACATACAATTTTGACCCTAGAGGACTTTTGCCTTTCTGATAAGATTTGAGAATTTAATTTAGGCTGGTTTTTTTTGTGGTTTTACTACAAATACCTAAAACATACCAACACATATAAAATGCATCTCTTCTACTCCCACTAGAGGGCAGTCATGTATAGAGTAGTGGAGGAAGACAAAGATTGGGAAACTGCAAACCTGATCTGACTTGCAAGTGTGTTTAGAATTCAAGTCTTTAAATGTTACCTTGAACGTAGCAAATGCATCTGAAGCTATGTCAAATGTTGACATTTCAACATATCTGAAGAAATCATAAAACTGTTCCGACCATAAAATGATTTTTGCAAGTGGTTCATGTCTGATGCACTCTCTTAACATTATTCCACAATTAAGAGCTATTTCTGGAGATTCATACCTGTAAAAACAAAACAAAACAAAACAAATAAAAGCCATATATGATTGCTCTTTTGAAACAACAAAATGAGCACATCAAACTCTCTCAAAGTGTCACACATTTCTAAGTGACCACAGCAGGTTACAAAAGGTATTTCCTCTAAAGAGTACACAGCAAAGTCTCTTCATGTGGAACCTACAGCTATGCGCAGAGATGGACAGTTACCTTCAATTAAGAAAAACCAGCTATGGCAGGGACCACAAGAATACAAGTTCTATGTTTGAAAAGATCTAGAAGGAAGTGCCAGGGTCAGCTATCCATGAGCGCTTTTTTTTTTACCCACCATGTTCACAACAACCAGAAGAACCACAAAACTGAATAAAAGAGTAATAGAGAATTCCCTTTCCAGATTCAGGAATTCAGTTTAAACATAGTATAAACACAGCTCCATCAAATAAACAGCACTTACAACAGTACTTCCAGACTCTTGGAAACATGCAAATCCCAAACTGCAAGCCTCATTCTAAGATTTTTACAGAGCATATCCATCACAGAGAACCTGGGGACCCTAAGAGTACACAGTGGAACCCAGGACCCTGGAGCCTTCTCACCAACTCTTCAAACACAGCCTTTTTCTCTGTTCTCAGCACCTCTTCCCTTGTGATCAGAGAGAAAACCTCACAGTGATTAGGGCCACTCCTTCACAAAGCACACTGCCTTTCACAGGCTGACGCCTGCTCACACAGGCTGCTCTCATCTTCCACACTACACACATTGGCTCTATTGCTTTCCCACTGACAAGCTCTCTTAAGGATTTGTTGTTGTTGTTGTTTTTTGGTAGTCAAACAACATTTCCCAATACTCTAGTTAAATAATTTTTTGGCCAGCAGAGACTTTCTCCTGGCTAAAACAGAACTAAGATCCATCTGTGTAATGTTCTGATGGTGCTGATCTTTGCTCGTCTATCTTTTGTCTTTCTCTTTTTGGTTCTGGTGATCAAACCCAAATACTGGGTAAGTATTCACTCGGCTATACCCCACCCAGCACTATCCTTCTCTTAAAAAATAGGGAAGAAAAACTCCTCCCAGTTCTCCTTTTTATCTCCCCGGTGGTTCCCCTTTCTTTGTGCTGAGGTCTTCACCTGCTAAGGAAAGCCCACAATTTCATGGCCCCCACCACCGAGACTGAGTTTCCTTTTCCTCCATCCACTCTCTGAACTGCGGTTGATATTTTCCAATGTCTCTCACAGCCTCAAGCAAAGGTCTACATAAGCCAAACAGACATGAAATCTCATCCCTACCACTCAAAAGCAAGACCCAACACCCCTGCCTGCTCAGGTCGACATTTTAGCAGCACTACTTTGTCTCTGATATCTAGTCTAACAGACCTTCCATGATGGTGGAATGTTTTGTACACATGCTGTCCATTATGTTGGCTACTAAGCATTTGACATGTGGCTGGTGAAAATGAAGGATAGAATAACCATAATTTAAAATTAAGTCACTACATATGGTTAGTAACTATTAGGCAATATAGCTCAAGTCCCCCACCCCCCCTTATCCTAGCTCCAAATCTTCAACTTCATGTGTTTGGATTCATCTGGGCACTTTCATATTTCTTTTCAAGTCTCTTGGTTTTACTTTCTCCTATCTAGTCCCACTGCTGTTAATTCACTGAACTGCAAATGTGTTATATCAGCATATTTGCTCAAGCTTTGCCTTAAACCATCTACCCAACAAACAAATTTACCAGCAGCATTTCCACAGCCAAACAAACAGACTTATGCCCAGTTTTTTTTGCATTAGATCTACTGCTCTGGGACAAACCGTCTCCTAGCCTGGCATAAAATGCTGTTCATCACATGGTATTCAGTCCTGCCCTGGACCTTCACACCAGAGACATTCCATCAGGACACTTTCTTCTGTCTAGGTAAGTTCTCAGTTCTCTGTAACTCTTATTGTAAGATCCTTTCCTTTTACCGACCCTTGCAAACCCCACTTACCCTCTGAAATCCTGTAGTCTTAACTTGTTGCCTAGCAGCACTACCCTTGTCCTTTCATTGTACATATGCTCAACAGATCCAAAACCAGAGCAGGACTACATGCATTCTTCTGCCTCAGTGAGGGCATGGCACTCAGCATGCTGACTGGCTCTTATTTGATTAAAATTTCTGTTTACAAGATAGCTGATCACACTATTAATCTTGCTTATCTCTAATAAACAGGAGACTAACAGGACAAGTGTTAAGGCAGTCTGGTACAAGTTTGGCAGGTTTTAATGGGAGTTTGTCAAGCTTGTCTCAATGATTAAACCATAAGCCAGAGAGTACAAGGCAAACAGTTATGCTGTACAACCTGCTAACATTAGGTTAATGGAGATCACATTAGATTTTAAATAGCCATTAAAATTCTACTGTTTCCAAATCCAGGCCAATGATAGTACTTCCCATATGCACACTAGAATTATCAGCACAACCAGCCAACGACAGGTTATCTTCAAAGGTGCTTCTTAAAGAATGCTACAGGTCAGACAAGAATCATATAAAATGAGTGAGGAGCAGAAAGCAAAGAAGCCATCACAGGACAATTGGGCTCTGCCCAAAGAACAAAGGAACCAACCAAAGGAGCACACAGTGGCCTAAGATGGGACAACTTAAATTGTAAAAAGTAAGGTGGGGCTGGAGAGATGGATCAGTAGTTAAGAGCACTGCTTGTTCTTACAAAGGTCCTGAGTTCAAATCCCGGCAACTACATGGTAGCTCACAACCATCTGTAATGAGATCTGGTGCCCTCCTCTAGCCTGCAGTCAACATGCAGGCAAAACACCGTACACATAATATATAAATACATAAATAAATGTTTTAAAAAAATGAAATAAAAAGGTAATGTTTACAATGGAATAAAACGTATCTGTGATGGTTAATATACTGAAAGTCAACTCAAAAGGATAAGAATCAGCTAAGAGGCCAGCCTCTCAGCACACCTGTGAGGAACAATCTAGACTAGGTTAGCCTCTGGGCATGCTTATGAGGGAGTACCCAGATTATGTGAGATGGGAAGACTGCCACTCCATGAGTTGGGCCTTCAATCTTGAACCAAATAAAAAGATGAAAGTGGGCTGTGTACCAGCACTCATCACTTTCTGCTTCCTGACTGTGGTACAATGTGATAGCCGCTTCAAGCTCCTTCCACTGTGGCTTCCCACTACACCCAACTGTGACTACAAAGTCAAACCCTTCCTTCCTTAAGTTGCTTTTGTCAGGGTATTTACTATAGCAACAGGAAAAGTAACTGATACAACACCCAATATCTGAGTTAATAATAACAATGCTTAAACAATATATTCAATGCTTATCCAAGTTAGTGGCTAGAGCACCAATGAATTGAAATAATGGCACTGGCTTTCCCCATACAGATTCTATCTGGAGATAGCAAAGTTCATCACTGTGGAGAGGTTCTGCTTTATGGAAGAAAAACATTTAATTGGAAGAAGCAATACCAAAATCTACAGTGAACTCTTATTTATTGATTGATTGATTGATTGGAGGCAGGGACTTGCTATGTAGAACTGAAAGGCATCAAACTCATGGAGATCTATCTGCCTCTGCCTTCCAACTGTTATGATTACAAACAGCCTGTGACACCACACTTGGCCTAGTAAAATTTTAAACTAGGATAATATCCCTGGTATATATAAAAATCATTAGATTAAAGTTTGATAGCAAACTTCAAAATGAACATGATTACATTTCAGTGTGACAATGGGTACCAGTAACAGGTGGCAGGCAGTACATGGCCTCACTCTGAGGAACTCATGCATTGCTCAAGACAAATCTAAATCTTAACCACTGTTCCAAGGGATGAAAGATGGTGAAACATGCTAAATAAAGCCACAGGAATGAAAATTTAAAATACATGACTAAAACAATAATTTTCAGACACCCAGTCTCACTATGGAGCTCAGGCTAGCCTATTAAACTTTCTATGCAGCACAACAAAATGACTTCGACCTTGGAGGAGTCTCCTAAGTGACGGTATAGACATGTGTCATCACACTCTACTAAAGTAAGTAGTTTCTACAGAACAAATGACCCAGTTGCTTAACAAATTACATACATTTTTAGAAAATGAGGAGATTAACTATTATAGATTAGTAGAAAGCTAAGAGTTTTATCCATAAAACTCAGTTTGTAGACGTTAAAAAAAAAACAATTTAAACAAACTCATTTTGTTACAATCAAGGAAATACAAAAGGCTGGACACTGGATTGTACCAGGTGTGTAGAAGGTATTGTGGTTTTTATAGCCTGCATGGTACACACACTGTATATGCATGATGGACATGGATGACCAATGCAGTCAAATTGTAAGCAAGAAAGAATAAGGACCACAGCAAGTAGGAATGGCATAAGGTTAATGACTCTGATGAGGGGTGTTGGGCAGGGAAGTTTTGCTGTCTTTTCTTTAGGGCTGTATGCTCAACTCCCTATAGACTGTAATGGAAGGGATGTGAGGATGGGTCCCTAGCCAAGCTCCAGCCTCAGGCTTTTCCTTCTTGCCTCTGGCTGAGAATTCTACTCTGACCAGCTCAGATGAGAGTTTTAAATATTAAACTATCCTTCAAAAGTCTTATTTTAGCCTAGAGTGACAGCTCACACTTTTAATCTTACCATTCAGAAAGCAGAAGTAGGTGGATCTTATGAGGACAGCAAGGGTTATATAATGAAACACTAGTTGTTTTGTTTTTTTAATACACTGTCTAAAAATATTTACATCAAAACTGTCATGAAATAATAGAAAGTGTTAACTAATTTATAGATTTTAATAAGCCTCTGGCTTCAATAACACAGTTCTAACACCACCTAAATTTCAGGGTACTTACACAGCACGTTTCCACAGGGACATGGGACTGATACAACAAAAGTTCTGCACAGCAACACATGAAGAAACAACATGGATGGGTAGAACAGAAAGGAGGAAGCAGGATGTTGGCATGTGACATGTCACTGACTCATGCTTTGTCTAAGCAAGTCTGAACTTGGGGGAAGTATTAAACCACAGAGATACAAATCCACATGAGGTAAGCTGTAAAGCTATGGGGAGGGGAGCAAGCTGATTCCCACCAGCAGTCATGCCAGTAATATGCTTGCCCACTAGTTTAGCAGAACACTGCCAGTGCTGGGAGGATCTCAAGAGCTGGCAAGCACTGCTGACTGACTACCTTGCTAGCCAGGAAGGCTCAGTCCTGGGAAAGAAGACCTCTTCATTTTTGTTAAACTTAGATCTTAGTTTTTAAAATTTTGACTACCTTGCTAGCCAGGAAGGCTCAGTCCTGGGATAGAAGACCTCTTCATTTTTGTTAAACTTAGATCTTAGTTTTTAAAATTTTGTTTCTGAAATGGACAACCACACACATCATGAATGCCTGCTAGCCCAGGAGTAACTCCAGAAAATGCACAGTGCTGACCCCATAGCGCATGTTCTGCTGAATGAAGGTAAGGAGCACGCATGCCCCACTAGGAGGCTCCCACTGCTGTGAGGTGTGCATGCAGGTCAGGAGGGAGGCGGTATCCTTGGACTCATGACTTGGCTGGGATTTCAATGGACTGTCAACTGTTTCAATCTTACAGACAAAACTAGGGCTTTATTTCTTTCCTAAGGGCTCAGAATTCACCCATTGTAAGTATACATCTACAGGGCATGTTTGTGTTAGTTTAGTTTACAGGTCAAAACTTAAGGGCAATATGTTCAAGAGCTACAGAAAAGTTAAGATAAAACTAAGATAAAATCTTCCCATATTCACCAGCCTGGTTATCTTTCCCCACCCAAACAATTTTTTCCTTTTTATTTTCAACTAAGAATATAAACTTTATCACGTTGTACATACCCTTTCAATAACATGAACAAAATATTCTGTTGGGTGCAGATGTATTCAACAGTAGGAGTTCTTGTACCAATTTGTCTTCTGAGAATATTGTTGAAAATTTGAGCCACGTCTTTTTTGCCCTATTAGGAATACAATCATTAAAATATTTACCTGTCTAAATATTAAAATGTCCATCCACCCTTCAATATAAAGTCAAAGAGCCATTGTGTATTAGTTATGACTGAGTATCTGACTTTACAACATTTGTAGACATGAAAATTCTTATTTTATCTAGTTATAATCCCAAATTTTTGGTTTTAATAGTGCACACTTTTTTTAAACACAAGTTTATGAACGAAGTGAAATCTCATCACAATTCACAAGTGTTTCAACTACCACTAATGCTCAGAAGCACACTCACTCAGTATGGAAGCAGATGCTGACAGCACACTTACCACCTATATGGATATGAACCTACACAAGTGGATAGTTCTGTTGTGAATAATACAGCGTGTACACTTTCTTTTACAGAAATGGAAAGGGGGGAGACTGTACTCTCAGTGTAATGATGTCAGAGAATTCTGTAAAAAGCTGAGCTTTAATAGCAAGCAGATAAATTCTATTCAACAATGTCACATAGGAAAAACTTAAACTATATTAATAACAAAAGCACTAAGTGTCACGATACAGTAGTTCAAAGATGAGAACTTTACAAACACCACTGCACAGAACAGACAGACCATCTACTGAACCTTAACAATCAGAAAGCTGCCAAAGAAATTAATAAAGGAGAACTGGCCCCCAACAGATGTTTCAGAACAGCCACTGTCACGAGGCTGAGGAAGCCAGAGCACTGAAGCCCATGGACAGATCATCCTGGGGCCTGTGTTGGCTGGCTCCGGTGCAATAATGGTAATTTCTCCAAATCAGTCCCATGGTACACACTAAAAAAAAAAAAGAAGAAGAAGAAAAAAAAAAAAGGAAAGAAAAACCAAACTAAACCAACCAACCAACCAAACAAAAAAACCTGTTGCCTCTGAAGTCTCAAATAAATATTAAATTCAGTGTCCAGTTTAGGGAACAAAATGGGTAGAGATAAAGGAGATCAGATATTCCAAATGCACCCCTCAAGCTAACAGAGAAAATAAACGGTTAGAATTTGATAAACCATTAAAAATACATAAAATCAAACGTATATCTTAGTTCTATCTTCTCTACAGCAGGACAAAAATGTTTATTTTTCTTTATTTTAAGGACTATTGAAGTAACCACCCTTCCCTTTGTCAAACTATATTATATCATCCTCCTTCCCACCCAAACCTGCACAGACATCCAGCACTCATGACAGCCAGAGTGGCTGCTTGTGACCATGTAGAGATCATTGTATCTATGCTTTTCGGGCTGGAATCAAGGGCCATTATCATCATGAACTCACTATACACCTAACATGTCATGATCCAACTGCAGAAGCTGAGGCAACAAAATGGGAGTAAGCAGGTCCCCAGAGAAAGCAAGCTGTGCTGCCTGCAGCTAGACCAAGAGTGGTGGTTGTTCTGCTCCAGCACAGGGGTCAACCAGTACAGACCCAGTTACCAGAGACAAATTTTACAAGAGTCAGAATGCAGAACTGTGAATAAAATCTGTGATTTCAACATTACATTAAGTGAAAAATTTAAAAGCAGTGCTGAGCAAGCACAAGACACAAAATACATGATCATTGCACTAATGGACATTTTTTAGGATTTTCTAACATTCTACAACTTTCTTTAAATTGCTTGTTCCTTAACCCAGAACAGCTGTTTATGAAATACAACCTAAACAAAAGAGCATCACAAACACCCTAAAAACTTCACAAACACTGTGGTGAAATGTACATACAAAGGTCAGGAGTCCCTGGGTCAACTGGGATCTTAAAATGTTCCAAAGGACAGAATGTATGAAAGAGGACCACAAAAATGTTTCTGAAGATTGAGAAACACATTTCTTACCTCAAAGTCAATGAGCTGTAAATCAGCTACCAGAGTGCTAAGGAGTCCACTATTGTACAGCTCTTGAGCCAGCTGAGCTACCGCTTCTGTCTGAGGTTCTTTCTCATTTGTGCCGTACAGAATTTCTTTCATGGCAACCAAATTTTTGGAAACTTCTTCTGTAGCCTGATTTTGGGAAGAAGGTGTACAAGAGAAAAACAACTCATTTAACAACACATACATGCCACATTTGTGTTAGCTAAAATCCATTTCTGTATTATCTACTCTCAGAATGTGTGCAAGCTCCATCTCTGTCCTCAGTAGCTGGACACTGTACATGTGTACACAAGAAGAGAAGCATACACTACTCAAGGGAGGGAGACTTGTACTGAGTATAAAATGGAAACCTAGCTAAAGTACAGTAGAAACAGGAATGACAAAGCTGGGTTCCTCCTCAAGCTCAGAAAAGCACTATGAAAGTGGCATAAGAACTGGCGGGGGGGGTGTGTGTGTGTGTGTGTGTGTGTGTGTGTGTGTGTGTGTGATTTGTGTGTGTGTGATTTGTGTGTGTGTGTGTGTGTGTGTGATTTGTGTGTGTGGTGTGTGTGTGTGTGTGTGTGTGTGTGTGTGTGTGTGTGTGATTAACCACCAAGTATCAGGAAACATGAGCAGTACAAGACAGAGATGAGGAAAAGGGGAAAGTACAGGGTCTATATTGTATTACAGTTTGGATCTGAAGTATCCCTTAAAAGACGCATGGATGGAAATACAAGCAACCAAAAGAAATGACACTGATAATAGAATGAAAAAAAAAAAACCACAAAAAAACCCCACTTTAACTGTATGCCACACATTCAAGAAAAATCAAAGAATTAAATAGAGCAACTCAAGACATAGAAGACTTAGAAACAGAAGCTATAATATTTGAGGTTAAAACTAGAGTGGATATGAACAGCAAAGAAAAACACTGCAAAGATGAGCAGCAGTAACTATACAAAAACCATGGGGGTGGTGAAGTAGAGGGGGACAACACGTCTGTGAGCTTCAGGGTAACTTAGAGTAATATATAACTATAGTCCCCAAAGCAGGGCAAAGGGCAGACAAAATATTGGAAAATGTGACGAATGAACACTATTCTGAATTTGCCAGGTGCACACCTTTAATCCTAGCACTTGGGAGGTAGAGCCAGGCAGATGTCTGTGAGTTCGAGACCAGGCATCTCTACATAGTTCCAAGATAGTGAGGACTATATAGAGGGACCGTCTCAAAAAAAAAACCCTTAACAGGGCTAGAGAGATGGCTCAGAGGTTAAGAGCACTGGCGGCTCTTCCCGAGGTCCTGAGTTCAATTCCCAGCAACCACATGGTGGCTTACAACCATCTGTTATGAGATCTGGTGTGCAGATATACACGGAAGCAGAATGTTGTATACATAATAAATAAAATCTTAAAAAAAAACCTAAACAAACAAAAAATATAAATTTGGGGAAAACTGCCAAAATAAATACTGATAAAAGGCAAATAAATCTCCAAGTATAAGAAATAGGGATAAGGTGGCTGGAGAGATGGCTCAGTAGTTAAGAGCACTGGCTACTCTTCAGAGGACCCAGGTTTGAGCCTCACACATGTACTCACAACAGTCTGGTCACTCCAGTTATAGGGAATATAATGCCCTCTTCCAGCCTCTTGGGCACCAGGCATGCATGTGGTATGCAGACATAAATCTAGGCAAAATACCCATACACATTTGAAAAATTAAAAAGAAATAAGACTATATGTAGATGAAGGGCTAAAGAGATGGCTGTGGTTAAAAACATTTGTTGTACAATAATGAGGATTGGAGTTCAGATCCTACCACACACGTTATGCCTCAAACTCCAACTCAGAGGGGTTCCAACATCCTTTTCAGGCCTCCATATGTACACAAGTGCACATGTGTTGTGGGATATTTGCTGTGACTGGTGTAATAAAAAACTGAATGGCCAATAACGAGGCTGGAGGTATAGGCAGGATTTCCAGGGAGAGGAAGGAAGAGATGAACCCAGAGACTTCTTGACAGAAACTACGTAAGTCAAAAGATACTAGAGAACTGCTTGAACTATTGAGAAAAATATATACAACTAACCCATCATCCTAGAATTTTATAATCCAATGAAAATGTTTCAAAAATAAAGATAACTCTACATAGTGAGTTCTAGGATAGCTAGAAATACCTAGAGAGACCCCGTTTCAAAATAAAACAGCAAAAAACAAAAGAAAATAAGCTTTTGAGATGTACTGAAGCTAAAAGATACAAATGAGAAGAAAATGTGAGTAAATATGAAGCTTTCCTTCACTATCACTTTAAAAAAAATTTTGTTTTAGCAAAACTAGTGTATTCTAAGGTTATTGCATGTAAAACAAAAAATGCATGACAGCAGTAACTCGAGAAGTAATGGAAATAGTGTTGTAAGATGTAACCAATGCAATACCCTGTTTCCCAAAGACACAGCATTAGAAGTTACAGATTTTTTTTTGGTTTTCTGAGACAGGGTTTCTCTGTGGCTCTGGAGGCTGTCCTGGAACTAGCTCTTGTAGACCAGGTTGGTCTCCAACTCACAGAGATCCGCCTGCCTCTGCCTCCGCCTCCCAAGTGCTGGGATTAAAGGCGTGTGCCACTATTGCCCGGAAGAAGTTACAGATGTTATTAACTTACCCCTTAAAGCAAATACCACACACACATCAAGGTGGTAGCAAATGCTTATGATCTACCTATGACTTGGGAATCCAAGTCAGGAGGGCTTAGAGTTTAAGACCAGTCTGAGCTACACAGTGAATTCAGGGCCAGCTTACAGTATTACATGGTGTGAAGCTGCCTCCTAAAAAAAAAAAAAAGCAAGCAAGCAAGCAAGCTAGCAACAAACCCATCAAAACAGGAGGCTTTCTATAGATCAATAAAGGTGCCTTGAATGGAATGAATAGTAAAACAGGAAAAGGCAGTAAAAATCTACCTAAAAAGAAACATGAAATAAACCTCATGTCGAG